AAAATAAAAATAAAAAGGGGATGTTTCCATTCGAAACAATTATCGATGACGTCACCACAACTACGCGGATGACGTTACAAACTCCGTATATACATCAAGAGGTGTCAATTCGAAAATGAAAATCGACCTGTCTCAGGATTTTTTTTAAATTCATATGCGTTAGAGATAATGAATTTATTCCATACATTTCCACCTAACTGTATGTATTTATATTTCACATCTAGTTGGTCTGGGAGGGATGTGTTGTTCAACAGAATATCCCGTATTTCTCATGAACGTCACCATCAGTGGCACTCTAAGAATGGAGCACAGAATCCATCCAAGCACTAGGAAAGAATACCATAATATGTTATACTGACTGGTCTAAAACACCCGTGGGAACTGAAGCAAGAGTGTTTGGGACTCGCACCTAATGTTCGCAACCGATGGGTCAGTTCCCTAGCGTTTTTCAAGCAGAAATGGGGAAGTTTCCTTCAGATGAATTTTCATAAAATAAGTTCGGAACTCTCCAGTTTTATGTCCACGCTGTACGGAATGGCGAACGATAAAGTCCAGGTCGTTTTCATTTTCAAATTAAAGCAATTTCTAATTTTCGGGGCGGCAAACTGTGACGTACATTCTGAATCTAGTCTGAAAATAGCTGATGGTGAAGAATATAGCTAGCGAATAGATATCGAATGAAAAACGAATGAAAAAAATAGAAGAAGAAGTAAAATGGGTAAACGCAGAAACATACATAACTACAAATGCACTCGGGGCAGGAATGCAGAGGGTAGTTGGCTCCATTCTGACAAGATATGGTTTTGTTATTTATGCATTGAAATATCTCGAATAGAGCTCGATCCTAAACAGAAATGTCATTGAATCAATGAATCACTATCGGCTACATTCAATGATACTATCCTTCCTAATTTACTGCCATCGGTCAGAACAGAATGAAGCCGGCACCCATTATGCGCTGTTGCAAGATATAATCTGCAACAATCCTAGAAAACTGATCCGTTTTATTAAGGAACGAATTCATTAGCAAAAAAATGACTGACAAGTTAAGAATAACATATTGTAATATAACGATAGTGAAAAATTATAGATACTATCGCAAAATATCTCTATTTATCTTTATTACTAATCAACTTCATTCAGCCAATGAGAGATTTATGGGAATTATTCATAATACTTGACAAAGCAGGATTGAAGAACCTATTACATCCCATTGCTGTTATGATATAGTTATTATGCATTCAAAGAACAATTTCCGAAAATCTAGACATAATGATAATGTCGGCAACGTCGTACTGACACAGGCAATCGTATTTTAACTCTGTGTGAATGTGGATTTTCAGAAAATACGTCATAGGAATGGTGGAGGAGCCAAGTTCCTCTTTTATTAATTTTTTTCTGAAGTGAAATTTCATCTTACGAAAAAAAGAAAAAATACGTATATCTTAATTTTTTACAAACTTCACAGTTAGATAAAGACCTCAATATAGAAAACTTCCCCATTCACGCCATTGAAAGGTGCATTTATTTCAACTTCGACAGGATATACCGAAACAAGGAAATCCTAATCCTCTCCGACAATCATCCAAGCAGTCATCAAAGCGTTCAGTTCTTCAAATATCAACTAATAGATTTTGGGAAAGCCTAGACAAACTCAACAATCAAGGCAGGAACAATAAGGTAATTCTCTCCTCCAGGTGCCGAAGCACATTGGAGGGAGGAAGATGAACAAGAAGACATTCTGGCACGGAAAGGAGCAAAAACGCCACTGATTGCACCAGAACCATTCTGCGACCTTGGAAATGCTTATTTCCAAGAAGAACTCAATAAATCTAGTGAGTGTAAGTAACACACTGGCGAAGATCACCAGGATCACAGCAAGCCAAAGATCTCCTCGGCAACGTTTACCCAGCAAGATCGAAGTCACTGATCAACCTCAGCAAAATTAGTCTCGAAGCAATAACGGGCATTATAGACGAAAAGAATATCTAAGAAAGCTATAGGCTTAGAGGAGGGCAGCACTTGCAGATTCTGCGGACAACATCCAGAAACACCCCAACACACCCAAATAACATCAGCAGTTTTATTGTCAGCTACAGGAGGTTGTTACAGCCTATTTTGGAATGCCTTTCCAAAACTATTATACTTTAATAATGATATCATTAAAACAATTCAACAAGCTTCTCAAAACATAAAGGACCCACTTTTATAAAAGTTGTCACAGCTTCTCTTAAAGCTTGTCATTAAACTGGAAGGCATTTATTGTAGTATGCCTCGGAGCAATAATAAAACCTAACGAAACTACTTCCTTCAAAGTCTTTCAGCACGAGTTCAAACCTAAATGCTTTAAATCGACAGTTCTTATGCCAACATCAGAACTCGTAGGCTAGAATTAAAACCTTATCAGTTGCAGTAAGCATTTGTTAAGATAATATAGTTCGTAACGTGTTATATGATAGTCTTTTTTCGGAACTAATTATAATACAAACAAGTCAAAATGGAGTGAAAACAATAGATAGTTATAAAAGAGACATGGCGGTATGATATGATAATTCGCTACTGTATCAAATGATACTTTTTGTGAAGATTGAGGCTGTAAAATCAAAACGATGACCACTTTTTTGACGGAAACATACCAGATATGCTCCGAAAAAAGCTGCGCCCTAAAAATAATGTGTTTTTACTAGTTAGAATTGGATGTGAATTTTAATAACTTTTCAAAAAAGTTGACAAAACCATATGAATGTTTGCTGAATATGGGTGAGTCGTTTGAAAAATGTGGAAAAACAATATTTTCGACGGCAGTATCAATGCATCTTTCCTATTTTCGGCTCGGAATTTTCATTTCCATTAATGGCCGACATCTGTTTGTAGTAAATATGGCGAAAAATATACTTAAAACCAATTTTCTTTCTCTAATGCTTGATTAAAACCTTAAAGTAATGATAAGGCATTCCATGAGACGATTATCTCTTGTTGAAGTAATCATTGCATATTCAAATCCATTCTTATGACTATTTGCTCCTGGGTATGACAACAAAGCTTCGAAAATGATAAGATTGATATAAGAAGGTTATGAGATAATGCCATCATAAAACTATGAAGCTTCAAGAATATCCTGGCTAGTGCTCATTTTCAGTGTTGCAAAGTGTAGAAGAACGTCATCAACATGATTAACATAACCCCACTTTTGTTGTTTACAGTGTTCCCTTTGTGAATTTTGTGATTGGTTCAAAGTAGGAAACCGAGTAGGAAACATACACAAACTACACTCAGTGCAGTTCGCCTGATATTGTGTAGATTGCTCCATTCTCTCAAATTCATGCTCTACTCGCCATCTGACATAATTTGTGCAAAACTCTTGTCAACTTCCCCGCTTCCTATAGTTCCCATTCAGGAGCACGATGATCAGGAGTATTATCCATTACGTTCTGACTTGTTGATGGTACTTCATGCACATCAGGTTAGGTTAGGTTAGGTTCTTGCTATTTAGTGATTTCAAGTAGGATGAATTGAAAGCCGCAGTGTTTGGAATTGCTTGAGCTTGAGAATTCTGATTTACTGTTGCTCTCACGATTTGATTTTTTATTCTTGAGTAATTTTCTTTATTTTTTCGCTTGAAGTTACCATTTCTCTTGATTTCACACCATCAATTTTTTTGTGAGTTCATTTCAACGTGAGTCGTTTGAAGGCAAAAAAATACGAATATTTATATTAAGGGATTTGGCTTTAACACGGTTCTAAATGAAACTTCATAAATTGTGGCTTATAGGCTTTAATAATCACTTTCACATAGCTAGAATAATACCATTAGGTTTTATTATTCCCTCAGTCAAATCCTGATTGGCCTTGCGTATATTTGGTTTTATGATTGCTTTATGACGTATTTTCATAGGATTAATTCAAAACCTCTCCGCAGTGTTTGGAATTGCTTGGTCTTGAGAATTCTGATTTACTGTTGCTCTCACGATTTGATTTTTTATTCTTGAGTAATTTCCTAAATTTTTTCGCTTGAAGTTACCATTTCTCCTAATTTCACACTATTCATTTTCTTGTGAGTTCATTTCAACGTGAGTCGTTTGAAGGCAAAGAAATACGAATATTTATATTATGGGATTTGGCTTCAACACGGTTCTAAATGAAACTTCATAAATTGTGGCTTATAGGTTTTAATAATCACTTTCACATAGCTAGAATAATGCCATTAGGTTTCATTATTGCCTCAGTCAAATCCTAATTGGCCTTGCGTAAATTTGGTTTTATGATTGCTTTATGACGTATTTTCATAGGATTAATTCAAAACCTCTTGGTCAAATTCGAAACACTAATGAAACTTAAGTGTTTCAAGAGGGTTGTTAAGAGTGAATATCTTCGATAAGGAATTTCAATTACTCTCACAGATCTCTCTTGAAACCGAAGTGTGCCAAATTGTTTTATGCGATAGTTCTATCATAGTATCTCGAAGCCTTTTAATAGGATTATATGGACATGAAGGCCAATATGCTTTTTCCAGGGCATTCATAAAACGGTAAAACAAATTAGACCTATTATTTGCTCTCACATGATCTCATTAAAGTCTCATCGAAGCTATTAGGCATTTAAAATGTTACTTGGGATATCTTGCTGGAGCGTTATGGTGTACACCGCGAAGGATCGAATACACTTGGAGTATACCAGCTAACCGTGGAAGCAATACCACGAAAAGATTCCCCTCAAAATCTTCAAATCCAAATAGCAGCACCACCATCCATACATACCAATACCCTGTAAATCTCTTGTTCGGAGCACCCTGTGTTTTCTGATGTAGCGAAAAAATAATTGATGGAAAGTTATTTCAAATGATGTTTCAAGTTTTGAAATCGATTCAAGAATAACTGAGTCAGAGAAGGATTGGGGGTGAATTTATGATGAATCACCAGGTTGGTACATCGAATTTGAAATTTTTGGTTTTGGCATTAAAGATAGATCTTCTCATTCCAAATTCTGATTCTGCCCATTAGGAAAATGAAACACTTGGTGTGTTTTTTCGGAAAGAGCAGTTTCCGGGCAGGAGGCATGCACATGACTGTGAAAGGAAGGCAGGCGAGCAAGCGGGAGGCTCCCATCCTGGTCGCTGCTCCCCATTCCACTTTTCTCGATGGGGGGATCGTGTACGTCACTGGGTTCCCATCCACGATCTGTCGGAGGGAGAGCGGGGCGAACAATCATATAGGGAGTATGTTCCGTCATGTAGTATACAGGGTGATTCAAAGGGCATGAGCAATCACTGTACTGCAGTATAGTGAACACCGAAAGATGACGATTCGACCCAACATGCTTTATAAAAAATGTTGCAGATACAGAATTCTCACTTGTAACACCACTAGAGGTCGAATTATGTCCGGAAATTTTTCGAGCTTATGGATATTTTGAAAATTATTCCGAGTCGAAGACGAGGGATGATTTTTGGAATATTCATGATCAAGAAAAAATTCCCGGGAAGTAATTTGACCTCGTGTGGTATTCGGTAAAGAAATGTCACACCAGATTGTGTTGGGAAATTAAATAATTCTAGAATTTATCTGTTCATTTGATTTGCATATAGGTTGATGAATGAATTTAGTTTGCAGTTTTGGTACCAATAATAGGTTCCTGATTTCTACCCACTATACAGTGACTCCCACTTACCATGCTCACCATGGGTATTTTTTTAACGGTGAGAGATACGAGTTCGGTTGAATTACACCAAATGTGGAGTTTGTCAAGGCCAACTTTAATGTGAAAAAATATTTTGACAAAATCTATTCGTTTCTGTTTTATACGCAAAAAACAGATTTTGATCATTTTCATGTCTCCTCCGTAACTTCTTTATTTATGAAAATATTCAAATAGGAATTTCACATTCTCATGGCAGTTTTTCAGAATGATTTCGAGAAAAATTTTCTCTTACAGATGATATGTCGCAGTTATAGTTTTGTGTTGATAACAACGGAGTTATCGTCATTTATACAAAAACAAAAAATGATTTGGATGCCGCCATCTTGAATTCATAAATTTAAACAAAAAAATCATGATCTCCGACCTCAAAAACCCCCACTTACCAATTTTGAATGTAATCGGACCAAATCTTGTCCGCCATCTTGGAGCAGCCATTTTTTTTTAATTCAGCGAAAATTACATAACTTTGATTAACTTGAAATTTGGCAGGTGTTCATAATTCCGGTGACAATTCATGGAATTTTTTTTGAAATAAAAAAAAATGGCTGCTCCAAGATGGCGGACAAGATTTGGTCCGATTCCATTCACAAATTGATAAGTGGGGTTTTTGAGGTCAGAGATCATGATTTGTTTGTTAAAATTCATAAATTCAAGATGGCGGCTTCCAAATAATTCTTTGTTTTCGTATAAATGACGATAACTCCGTTGTTATCAACACAAAACTATTACTGCGACATATCATCTGTGAGAGAAAAAAAAGTTATTTGTAACTAAGTCATAGTGAGCTATGACCCACATTTGAAAAACTAAAGTTGGTGCTGATATCTCAAATATTAGAAGAGTTGGTATAAATTCCATATTTTTTTCGAAATCATTCTGAAAAACTGCCATGAGAATGTGAAATTCCTATCTGAATATTTTCATAAATAAAGAAGTTACGGAGGAGACATGAAAATGATCAAAATCTGTTTTTTGCGTATAAAACAGAAACGAATAGATTTTATCAAAATATTTTTTCATTGTTATAGTTGGCCTTGACAAACTCCACATTTGGTTTCTTTTAACCGACCTCGTATCTCTCACCGTTAAAAAGATACCCATGGTGAGCTTGGTAAGTGGGACACACTATATTCTTCTATTTTATATTAACTTCGGGATACTACAAGTGATGGGAAATTATAATTTTGTCAATTAATTTTTCATAGGTATAGGTACATACTATACCTTTTCAACTTCAATTTCGGAATCGGTGAGTTATATTTCGGAAAAAGTAATCTCGATTTCAGAATTGGTTAGTTCGATTTCAGAAATGGTAAACTCAATTTCAGAATCGGTAACATGAATTTCAGAAAAAGTCCATTCAATTTCAGAAATGGTAAGTTGTATTCCAGAATTATCATTGGTAGGTTCAATTTCAGAAGATGAAATCCTTTTATATGTTTGAAATGTTTTCAATTGCAAAAGAGAAGATTGTTTAAAGTGGATGAACGGTGTTTGAGAGCCCTATGTTGAATCAGAACATATATGGGGTGCCTTCAAGTCAGAAGTGAAGAGCTTCTTGCAAGAGCATCGCCAAAGGGTCATAGCTGGGAATCCGAACAGCTTGCTCAACCAGATAGAATTCAGACTGCGATGTCTTGAGGAATGTGCAGATCATTCAATGAGAATGATAACACCTGAAATGTGTTTGCATTCTCATAATCATGGCCAACGCTATTATCTTCCAGCGATTCGGATGGAAGGCATTTGTGGATTAAATTGAGATTATAATTATGTTATTGAATTGTTTTTGACGAGTTGAATATTGTAAATATGGTTTGTTAATCTCACATACAATTGGAAACATTTCGAACAAATATAAGGATTTTTTTTCTGAAATTGAACCTACCAATTCTGAAATACAACTTAACATTTCTGAAATCGAACTAACCAATTCTGAAATCGAGATTACTTTTTCCGAAATTGAAGTTGAAAAGGTATAGTAGTAGAAGAGAAAGGGGAGGCGGTCGCCTAGCAAGTATGCCCCAGTGAGCCTTTTTTGCCGACCCCTACTGCACATGTGCATATAATATCTTCTATTCTTTCTCCTAATTCTCCTTCTCGAACATCCGTGGATTTTTGATGAACGTCAGTATATGTCCGTCCACCTTAGTAATTTGATCTTCCTGTTGAAGCGTGTCAGTACCAGGAATTTCGAAATTTGGCCTTCCATAACGCTTTACAATGTCCCTTTTCTTCATAATAGATGCAGTTAGGTCATCAAAGGATTCCTAGCCTATTGATTGTTGATTTCTACCCAGTTGAAGTGGCACAAAATCAGTATTTCAAAACGTCATAAAAAATTTCTCATTTCATACGCTGGTAGGTACCCACGAGAAGAAAATGTCCGCTAAAATACATACTTTGCTATGGTAATTTGTCATAAAAACCCAATCTAACTGTATAATATTCACTGTCGAGTTGAGGCATCGCACCCCTTCGTGGTCACTTTGGAGACCTGCAGAACATCTCTTTCCAAAGACTCGTTTATCCAACGAATAACAGCAAGACTCTGGGACACATTGCCAAAGAAGGTGTTCCCCGAGGCTTATAACCTCCAGAAATTTAAGAAGAACGCCAATTCCTACCTTATTGCCCTTATTGGTTCTCACGATGTTCTCTGAACATTACAGGATATCCGTTTTCGTGAGTACCAGAACATAAAAAAAATATGTAATGAATATAATATGAATTTCATTCTACTAGGGTAACGAGAGAGTGAATTTGATTCTGGTATGAAATGTTCCTACCAAATCCCCACGTGCTTGAATTAATTGCAAGAAAGTCTCGTACATGAATTTTTGAAGAAGATTTACCCTCGTCGCTTCGCGACTTGCGATAATTCTCAGAAAAATCATCATGTACTCAAAAAATTTCTGGAAATGATTCATTCCCCTGGGAGATTATAAGTAGAAATATTATTTGAAAATTTTGAAATAGAATATCTTCCTAGATCACCCTGTATCTCTCAAATCAGCAACTTTTTTATCAGGCATGTTAGGCTTAATCTCAATATTTCACACTTTCTCTAGTTCAGTAATTTCCCGTTCATAATGAGTCACCCTGTATATACGGCAATCATTCGTCACAGTCGACGTTTTGTCAAGAAATGATTGAATCGATTATATTTCAAACAGATGTTATATGATGGATAAATGAGTAACAAAAAAAAACACAATTAGTAGGTATACATAATGTAGAAAATAGGAACAAAACTCGGCAAGGTTGAAATGTAGATCAATCCACTATTGATTTAAAGCCAGTTGACCAATTCTCCAAAAAATTCCATAATATATGAGTTTTCTTCGAATATGCACAGGTATATTCAGATTCAGAAGCCTTATACCATCGTTTGTTGAATCGATTCGGGCATACTTATATAGCTGAAATCCTTCCATACAAGATTGCAACGCAATACCAGGGTGTTCGTTATCCAATGGCAAATTTTTATATTTTTTTCCATTGCAATTCACCTTGCATCAAGATCTGAGGAGTTGATAGATTTGGTCAGTCGATGGGAAAACATATCAGATTACCAACATACGAAGTTTAATACATGTAAAATATACATGAAATATCTCTATAGATCAACCACAAAGCTCCACAATAATTCTGAAAACCCAAGTCACCTCATTACACTTTTGGGAGTCGTCTTGACTGACAAAGAGTTGTCAAATACACTCAGTTCCAAAGAAGTGACGCACTTGATATTTGACCTATCTTCTTGAAAAAAAAAATAGGCAAATTTCTATTTTTTTCCATCTGTTGGTAGGAAATGCATTTGTCTTTCAAAAAAAATAAAGAGGTGGAAATGTTTTCAAAGCCTCCTTGATGGTGCTGGAATAACTCCAACCATGATTTATTCTTAATTTTTGACTCACCCTGTGTGTTAATTGAGTAATGGCATATAAAGTGCTTGCACCCTATACGAAAGAGGCTTCTTTTGCGAGCATTGTGTTTTTTATTCTTCGATTTATCTCTAAATTTTTCCGAATCACAGTTTTTTTTGCTGAATCCTTGCAGATTACCAGTTTTCTGAATTTATCGATAAACAAATTTCTGATGAAATAAACTGATACCAAAAATTTCAAAAATCATTTCCATTGAACACAAAATTATAAATTGGAATGACTGCTTATTAATACCGTGTATTACCTCCTATAGCAACTCTAAGAACTTATAATCTACGAGGCATACTGGAAATTAAGTTGCTTATCGTTTCCATTGGTATACGATCCCATTCTTCCACTAATGCATCTGCCATTTCTGCGAGACTTTCCGGAGACCTCTCGCGAGAACGTACCCTTCTCCCTAATTCATCCCACAAATGTTCTATAGGATTTATATCGGGGCTTCTCGCAGGCCATTGTAATGTGGTAATACCGGTAGCTTCTAAGAAGTTTCGCACTATTGCTGCGGTGTGTGGTCGGGCATTATCCTGCATCAATATAAAACTATTCCTTACTAACTCTGCATAAGGTAATAGATACTGCTCTTGGATGTCAATGTGAATTTGGGCATTCATCGACTACCTCACATAACAGGAAAAACATAAAGGGGTGTTTTTCCATTCATTGAAATCCCTCCCCACACCATAACGGATCCACCATTAAAACTTTCGCATTCTGTTATTAAAGTTTGATTAAACCGTTCACCAGTTCTTCTCCACACTCGTTTTCTTCCATCCACCATGTTAGGGCAAAACCTTGACTCATCCGTAAACAAGACATTCGACCATTCAGGAATATTCCACTGTCCATAATTTCCAACAAAATTTCTTCTAGCAGCACGATGTTCGGGCAATAATTTGGGACCTTTTGCAGGTCTCCTAGCTTTTAAATTAACTTCATTTAGACGTCTACATACCGTCTGCTTACTTAGTGCAACATCACGAATTTGGCGAAGATCTTGCTGAACATTTACCGCAGTATTTGACCGATTTCTTAAAATCCGCAATCTCAAGAAGCGATCATCTCTTGGAGAAGTTTTTCGAGGGCGGCCAGAACCGACCCTCCGAGCGGTGCTTCCTGTTTGTTCGTACTTGCGGATTGCTCTACGAGCAGTGCTTCATGAACTCCCACTGCAAGAGCGGCGTAACGTTTACTACGCCCATCGTTTACTAACGCAACTAATCTTGCTACTTGTTCAGGATTCATTTGAGGCATTTTATGTAATTTTAGTCAATAAAACAAGACACTTAATTAATGACACAACGTCAAATGGTCAGATATGGGGGCATACAACAAATTATTTGCTATGCCAACGGCATTTGTTTATTTAAAGACAATGTGATCGTACCAGAATACAACCCAATCAATTTTGAGTACTCTGAACCTTCAATAAATTTAATTTGTGGAATTAGCGTAAGGTATCAGAAAAAAAGCTGTAATTCGGAAAATTTTAGAGATAAATCAATGAATAAAAAAACAAAATGCCCGCTAAAGAAGCCTCTTTCGTATAGGGTGTAAGCACTTTGTATACCATCACTTACTCAACACACAGGGTGAGTAAAATTTTCACCTCTTCATTTTTTTTCAAAGACAAATGCATCACCTACCAACAAATAAAAAAAATAAAGATCGGGCCACTATTTTTTTTCAAGAAGATAGGTCAAATATCAAGTGCGTCACTTTTATTGGAACTGAGTTTATACACCAATAGAATGACGGACAAACACATAACGAGCAACATCATATGGATCTCAAAATCTGATGGAAGGTATAAATTGACATGATCTACACGTCTAAAATATTGTAAACGATGCGGTGTTGCCGCTCCTGCTAGAAAGTAGCAGGAACTTTGATATTTCAAATAGAACACGCTGTATATCCTTGCACTTTCAGATTCCTTCAGGAAAGCTCATCTCATCAATGCATTACACTCGGGGTGTAGCGAGAATGATAACCGAGATATTAAGTGTTCAAAATCGAGATTTTTTGATTATAGAATTTTTTTGTGTCGAAACTATTCATTATCAGTCCAAACGGCCATCTCTTCTGTCGGTTCACCATCTACTGACATTCAATTAGAACAGATACAAGGTGATCTGAACTCTTTATTTCGAACCACGCTGTATCTGTTTCAGTTACACGTCAGTAGATAGTTAATGGGGAGTTTAGACAAACATTCCCGCTATAGACACCGAATGTGATATATTGATACAATTTGCTTTTCAAGGAGAGTCCTAAAATGCAATGGAATACAGGGTGATCCATTTGAAATGTCAAAGTTGCTGATACTTTCTAGAAGAAGCGGAACTCAGCATCGTTCGAAATATCTCAAACGTGTAGATCATGTCAATTTATACATACCATTGAATTTCCATATTCATCTGTTGCTTGGTTTGGCAGCAACGTCTAATCATGAAGAGCCCTGTATATATATATATATATATATATATATATATATACTGATGCTTGATGTGTCTATAATTATAAACCTTTCTTGGAGAAATGGAATGGAAATTTCAGATGACAGATGACCTCGTGTAAATTTTTATGTAATGGAGAAAATTTTGTCAATGAGTAGTTTCAGAAAAATTATATAGACCATGATACAATATTCATCAATTCTTGGATGACCTAGAGAGACCTTCCTGTAGAAGTTACAAGGATGAAACTTCGTGTTCCTCAATTGAATGACTACTTCAACTTTTCAGATATATAGATAGTATTGGAAATGCTGAAATATAAAAATTTACTATTGGATAACTGATATATGCTATACGAGATGCATAAAATTTCTTTAATGGGGCATGTCTGAATCGAATAGGCTATCAACATTTCCAAAAAAATTGCCTGATAGTGGCTCTCCAAATTCTGACCACTCCAACAAACGATAAAAGGACTCTAGAATCTGAATATATCGATATCGACCATATATTTTCGAATAAAGGTCATTGAGTACCTACTCTATAAGGGGCATTTATATTTTGGAAAACGGTTAAAAGTAGGTATCAATCTATTTTCAAAGATATAATTTTTCTTAACCCAAAAATTGTACATATTCTTCAATTCCTGTTATATGAAGGAAACTAAAATTCAAACGAACGAAGATAAAATAACTTCAATACTGATAGGAAATAGCCTACGTAACTTGGGTGAGTAACAAAGCATCAGAAAATGAGCACTTCATGATTTATGAATATATTTAAAATAGGTGTAGTTTTAGTAGTACTTGATGGCTTCTTCCAATCACTGTTCCATGATTTGCTCTTTGTTTTTTTCTTGTTAGCAACATTTTGGCAGAAAATTTATGAATGTATGAATAAATGTATGATTGAAAATGAATTCTCAATTCTTCATGAAGTAGCGACATGTCATTTTTCCAGAGTTGATAAATTTCACGCAACCAGTCTATGTTTGGAGAGACGATCCAGATTCTCGTCAAAACACAATCAAAGAAATCATCAGCCGAGCTACCTCCGATCAGGATTGGCCCCAAATACTGATATTCCCAGAAGGCACTTGCACCAATAGATCATGTTTAATAACCTTCAAACCAGGTGAGATAAAGCTTTGTCTTTGTAAAATATTGTTTCTTAGGTGGAAAAACTAATTTGGCTCATTTCGAGTACTTTAAAACAGTGAAACACAAAGACGGTAGAGCACAAAAAATTATATCAACAAATCATATCATTTGTGACTAGTTCTGAATCAAGGGCCACCTTCAGATACATGAAAATACCTAAGTAGAATACATGTGGAGTTAACTTCCAATTAGAAAGTTAGGTTAAATCCGACTGATAATATATATGGCCTTTGAATCGACCAAATGTCCAGAAGAACGAAATAGTAATTCACATAACGAGTGTGGAAAGAAGTACTTTTTCGCACGCGACGACAGTTGCTTAAACGATGCAAAGCGGAGTTCGGGCAAGTCATGGGTGGAAATAGTAAATCACATAACTAGTGTTGAAAGTTACATATTTTGCGCGAGTGGACGTTTAGCACGAGCCGCAGAGCGGCGAGTGCGGAAACGAAACGAGCGCAGGAAATGCACTTTCAAACGAGTTTTGTACACTATTTTTTTTTAACTTTTTAACTAAACATTAACTTAACATTAACTCAACATCAACTTAACATCAACTTAACATCAACTTAACATCAACTTAACATCAACTTAACATTCACTTAACATCAACTCAACACAAATTCAACAGTTTCTCAACATTAACTCAATATCAACTCAACATTAACTTAAAATTAACCTAACATTGACTTAGCATTAACTCAATAATTATTCAACATTAACTCAACATTAAATCAACATTAACTCAAAATTAACTTGACATTACCTTAAAATCAAATTAACATCAACTTAATATCAAATTGACATTGACTTCACATTAATCACTGAATTGCCAATACAGTGACATTATTTCAACTTTCAATTGAAATTAACATGATTTCAACTTTTCATCAACTTAACATTACGTCAACATTAACGGCAATAACTCATGTTAAATCGACACTAACTTTCCATTAACTTGACCATAACTCAACTCACCATAATTCATCATAATAATCATTCATTGTCACATCATGATCTATAGACCCTGTTACTGTGCGATTCTCGAATATTTCCACCCATGTGAGTTTTACTTTCGAACTTTCTAACTGTTATATGTTGTCATAGTGAAACGAGTCACTTTCTCAATAGCAAATCAATGTGTTTTGTGCTGGTTTCATAGGTGGTCGTAGGAAGTGACATTTTTTGCAAGAGTGAGGTACAATGTTTTTGTCGAGGTTTTTGTCTGCATTATTCATGAAGAAAAAAGAGTCTTGATGAACAAGATTTCATAAGAAGTAACAATCACACTCAAATATGAAGGAGCAGAAATGCGAGTGGTTGAAACAATCGGAGAAAAGTTCGTTACCATAGCAACGCTAGGATTTACTGTTCGTTTTTCAAGTATTGAGCGTCGATTCAGTTTGACAATAGTTGTAGAAGTCAAAAACAGAAATGAACATCAAAGGAAATAGTATAAGAGACCGAAAAATCAACTCCAGACAAAACAAAGTGATTCCTTCATTTGAAACCAATTTAGCGAATTTTGTACTTTTTTCGATTAAGTGGATAGGCCTATTTGAATCAGACCTACCCGAATCAGGCCTATCGGAAATACCACCATACAAGATTTCAACCTAATACCTGAGTCAGGGTCTCATTATTTCAATGGAATTCCAATATTCCTCCTTTTCCAATTCACTCTGAATCAAAAAACTCTGATATACGAAGTTTCATCTTTGTACAGGAAGATGTCTCTATTGGTCAACTTGAAACGATTATAACAGCTATCATTATTTGATACTCATAATAATGTACTATTATTTTTAGGAGCTTTTTACCCAGGAGTTCCGATTCAGCCTGTATGTATACGATATCCAAACAAACTTGATACTGTAACATGGACATGGGAAGGGCCCAGTGCGTAAGTTTCCTACATATTGATTGGAATATCAAAAATTGAGCCCATCAATCATCCCATTATATCCTTATTCATAAAAAAAAATTGAAATAATAACTGTACAATTTATTGGATTCATTAGTCAATGGCAGTCTGAAATAAATTTAGTTTCGTCCGAAATTATTCATGTTTCGAGACTGCAACATCAATAATTATTTGTATTTTTGTGTAACATTTTTTCTCAACTCAACTAAGCTTTCAAAGTTCAGCCTATAATAGAATTTGGTATAACTTACCTCGAATTTACAGACTGAAACTTTTATGGTTGACCTTGACGCAGCCCTACAGTAACTGCGAAATAGAGTTTTTGCCAGTGTACAATCCTAGTGAGGAAGAGAAGAGAGACCCAAAACTATTTGCTATCAATGTGAGGGCCGTTATGGCGAAGTAAGTATCCAAAACCTAAGTCCTGTTGTTCTTGCTCGAGTGGTTTCATTAACAGCCCATCAGGCAACCTGATGACGTTTCAGTGACGTCTCTTTTACGTCACTTGAATGACCAAGGTGATGTCAGTAGTTGACGTTCGACTGACGTCATAATGACGTCAAAATGTCGATCAAACTTGGCGATGATACGTTAAAAAGATTCTTTTAACATGTTGTGATAAACACCACTGGCCTCTGATGACATTATATAATATTGGTTATGCATTGCGTTGAGTCTGCTTGGTGGGTCCCTCCTGTGTCATGTTCATTCAATCGCCTTTTCCTTTTCAGCAGCGCCATCCTTCAGTACTCATCTCCATCAGAATGCAATCAGTTACTCGTATTTGTATCAAAAAGCATGTAGTTTGTGTCGGCGAGATGTAAGCAAACAAACAATAGTTTGATAGCAATGAAAAGGATGTTGGCGAATTTGGCTTCACTTTATTGAATAATGTATATTGATGCATTCTTTGTCATCCAACAAGAATCTGAATAACAAATTAATGAAAAAATTTCTGAATGACGAAGCTCACCAAATTGGTACGTCACATCGACGTGATTTTTAGACGTCATAGATAGGTCACTGCAACGTCATAAGAGTAACGGTTTCAATATAGGTATCAACAATCATTTGTATATATACATAGCTTCTTGGTTTCCGAGATATACAGTGTGTCAAAGTTTTTCAAAAAAACATTTTTTCCTACTTTTCGGGTATATTAATATTTCCAATAAAACTCGCATGTTGATCCGCTTTCATGAGTTATACTTCTGTTTCACATGATAATATATAAGTATCCATGGTTTAGAGAAGGTCTGGGAAAAATGGACGTCGACAGGACGTCCCTGCAACGTCATGAAACTGACGTCTTCTTTTACTCATCTAAGTGACGTTCACTCGACATGAGACGATTTCGTGATTATCACGTCATAGAAAGTACGTCATAGTGACGTCATCAATTGGTGTGTGACGTCTATGACGAGAAATCACCAATTAGGGACGTCACAGTGACGTGATCATTTGTCATCTGGTTGCCTGGGAACATCAATCAATTTCTAATAAAAAGTCAATTAGGTACCTGATCAGTTGACTAAAAATACTTTCAGCTATTCGATAATTGACTGCTCTCCACATTTCTCATAAATATAAAATCTTTTCGAGTTGTAGGCTAGCGATTCAGTAGATATTCAGTCATTGAAATGGTCTATTCATTTCTATAGATTATTTCTTTTGATGTTCTCTCCACACTTTCATGAATGAAGTTATAAATATCATTCCGATATACATATGTTCTTTGAAACATGTTTGGTATTATTCCTCGTCCTTTTTGTTCGATATGATACTCATTGACTGTGGAAATTATTGTTCTCTATGAATTCGTCATCGGTATCAAGTACTTAACAGATGGCGATTTGAAAATGGCGAATATTTTCAGGAATCTGTCCTGCAAGCATTAGCCGATTTGATAAAGTAATCAGGTAGTTCCAGTAATGTACCATATGTTGATTCATAATATAATATCCTAGGTAGAAATCATAAAATATACAAACATCATTCTACTTTGTTTTCAGGGCATTGGGTATTCCAGTGATCGATTATTCTTATGATGATTGCAAACTGATGACGAAAGCCAAAGAAATGAATCTTCCCTATGCTCCATCGTTAGTGGAAGTTCGTAAACTACGGAATCGCTTGAGGTACTTGTATTAATTCAGAAGTTTCGAAATGCATTTTCGATATCAAAAGGAAATATGAAACTGAATATACAGGGTGATCCACCGTGGATGACCTACTGAAAGTATCTGGAGAACGAGAAGACAAAACATTCTGAAAATTGGATTTCTCATACATGCTCTTATAATTGCACATTCTCTATCCGTCTAACATATTTCTATCGGTACAGTGTTGCCACTTCTATCAGAAACAACAAGCAACTCTGTTATTGCATATGGAACACCATGTATTTTTTTGCATTTTTGGATTCTTCCTGAAGAGCTGATTTTATCAATGTACCAAACTTGAGGTCTAGCAGGAATGATAACAGAGATATAGAATGTTCAAAATTGATATCTTTCAACTTTAGGATTTTTTGTGTCGAAACTATTCATTATCGATCAAAATGGCTCACATGTCCCTATCTCAACTTTCGATTCACTATCTACTGGAATTGAATTAGAAAAAATACAGGTGCTCCAAAATTCAGAATTCTGATCACTCTGTATCTGTTCCAATAAATGTCAGTAGATGGTGAATCGAAGGTTGAGATAGGGACATGTGAGCCGTTTTGATCGATAATGCATAGTTTCGACAGAAAAAATTCATAAAATTGAAAAATCATGATTTTGAACACCCTATTTACCTCTGTAATCATTCCTGCTAGACCCCAAGTGTGATACATTGATGATATCAGCTCTCCAGGAAGAATCTAAATATGCAATGAAATACACGGTGTTTCATTTGAAATAACAGAGTTGCTTATTGTTTCTGATAGAAGTGGCAAACACTGTACCGATGAAAATATTTAAGACGGATAGAGAATGTTCAATTATCAAAGCATCCCAATTTTTAGACTGTTCTGTCTTTCCGTAATCCAGATACTTCTAATAGGCCATTCACCGTGGATCACCCTGTATGTATAGGAGAAGAATCAAGATATTGGGTAGCATATTCTTGTGAAGATCAAATCGAACTCTCCAATCTGGTTTACCTTTGTGTACAATAAATTGTTCTCAACCTTGATGAGATGAAATTAGCATTATTACGAAATATCATTGGTCACAATGAGAGAAACCCGGAGTCTTTACCAGAATAGTTCATGAAATGAACTTGAACGGTGGATAACGGGAGAAAAACAACTACTTTCCTGGCTATATGCCACGCAGAACATGCATTGGATTACTTCCTTCCGAAATCTATGCAATGATTCGTATAGACGAATAAAACCGCATAGACTAGACAAATTTTTGGGATATTGAACTTTAAGAAGCATTTCGTATTACTTTTTGGTAAAGGGTGTTTTTCTACTATTTCGACCCTGCTGAATTCGAAAATGCCGGTTGCCAAAGTTAAATCGCAACCGAAAGTGAGATTTTCAAGATGGCGTCCGAAATGGCAGCAAAACAGAATTTTGCTGCTAAATCTCCCTTGTTTGAGGTAGGAACGCGACCAAAGGGTCTCTTTATATGTTTTCAGACATGAAGAAAACAAAAACACACAAAATAAATTCGTTCGTTGAATATAATTTCTAAATCATATGACAAAAGCGGTCAAGTTGCCCGTTTTGGTTTTTAGCGAACAATATACTTTGACTAATGTATTATATCGTTCTATGCACATTTGAGTCATTTAATGTGACACTTAAAACAAAGGGTATTTCTTCAGAAAGAAGTGAAATTTTTGTGTGTCTCCAGAGTTCAGGCAAGAACGTTTACAGGGAGTGCACAGTTTGATGCAAGAGACATTGGCTTTTCTACAACTGCAATTTTTTGTATTACAATGTCCTTTGCAATGACAGACAACTATTTCTGGGCACGACTTAGGAATGGGATCCAGTGTTATTAAACGAGGAACAACTTGTTCTCTCTGCACAATCCAGCCACAGTCCTGCAGCCTAGGTAGTGACGGTTTGGGGATATGCGCATTCTCCCAAACACACACCTGAGATAAAAAAATATATATATTATATTCATTTCGTTTTCATTTCTGTCGATTTGCTTTTTAGGTACACTTACCTGGTAGTTGCATCTCTTAATATGGAGACGAAGTGCATCAGTTGTCGGTGGGAGAAATTCTGGCTTTCTTACAGCTCCAAATAAATAACTTCGGGCATCGTTTGAGCATATGTGATGCTGGAATCAACCTGTATGAAATCAGAATTTCTGTGTGTACTTCATTTTAATTCAATATCATCTGGGAGATATTTAAGTGTAAGCATTTTTACCTTATACAGTTTGACGACAAATTTTTCGACATTGCTAAGGACGTCCTCCTCAAGTGGCGTCCCAGAAGCTCGCAGTTTGTCCCAGAAAAAGCCTTCCATGCTCCAACTTTCGTTATAGACGCCAACTTAGACGTCGAATCGCAGCCGGTTATTGCATGGAAAGCAAGAAGATGGGAGACTTGTTCCGGCATAAGCTTTCTGCATATATCATGTACAGGAATGTACTTGGTGTCACGTGCAGTGCCACTCATTACCCGCAAATGGGAGCATTTCATTTTAGCGAAGTGGTAGATAAGAAGAAGAACAACGTCGGTGTCCCTCGTCATCACAACAACGTTATGAGCTGTGGTGTGAACGGCATGAAGAACCATGCACGTGTCAGCTTCCTCGTGTGATGATTTCAGGCAATCAACATTCCGACGCAAATTCGTGGACTGGGCATGTTCTTCCTCAGTGAAGCCGCCGGAGATAACTACTTCAAGATCGCCAAAGTTAGTTTTGTTTTCTGATAAAAACAAGAAGTTACTCCAGTTCTTTGGCAGCGGCACGTTGCAGTCCTCAATGTCTCTGCGCACGAAAGTTGGAGCATGGAAGGCTTTTTCTGGGACGAACTGCGAGCTTCTGGGACGCCTCGGACAGTCGCCACTTGAGGAGGACGTCCTTAGCAATGTCGAGAAATTTGTCGTCAAACTGTATAAGGTAAAAATGCTTACACTTAAATATCTTCCAGATGATATTGAATTGAAATGAAGTGCACACAAAAATTCTGATTTCATACAGGTTGATTCCAGCATCACATATGCTCAAACGATGCCCGAAGTTATTTATTTGGAGCACTTAGAAAGCCAGAATTTCTCCCACCGACAACTGATGCACTTCGTCTCCATATTAAGAGATGCAACTACCAGGTAAGCGTACCTAGGCTGCAGGACTGTGGCTGGATTGTGCAGAGAGAACAAGTTGTTCCTCGTTTAATAACACTGGATCCCATTCCTAAGACGTGCCCAGAAATAGTTGTCTGTCATTGCAAAGGACATTGTAATACAAAAAATTGCAGTTGTAGAAAAGCCAATGTCTCTTGCATCAAACTGTCCACTCCCTGTAAACGTTCTTGCCTGAACTCTGGAGACACACAATAATTTCACTTCTTTCTGAAGAAATACCCTTTGTTTTAAGTGTTACATTAAATGTCTCAAATGTGCATAGAACGATATAATACATTAGTCAAAGTATATTGTTCGCTAAAAACCAAAACGGGCAACTTTGACCGCTTTTGTCATATTTTTTAGAAATTATATTCAACGAACGAGTTTAGTTTGTGTGTTTTTGTTTTCTTCATGTCTGAAAACATATAAAGAGACCCTTTGGTCGCGTTCCTACCTCAAACAAGGGAGATTTAGCAGCAAAATTCTGTTTTGATGCCATTTCGGACGCCATCTTGAATATCTCACTTCCGGTTGCGATTTCGCTTTGGCAACCGGCATTTTCGTAATCAGCAGGGTCGAAATAGTGAAAAAAACACCCTTTGCCAAAAAGTAATACGAAATGCTTCTAAAATTTTAATGGAGGCCTTTTTTGGATTTTTCGACTAGACTAGCAAGTGTTTCCTTCCTAAACGGCGAGCTGCGCCTAAGTGGTTCAGGAACGCGTGACTACCTGCAGACTGGTTTAGAGCTGTTGGCTATCATCAGTGCAGGGCTTCTCCAGTTAGCTTCTTGACCGCTATCTGGTGCGAGCCTGACGCAACAAAACGCATCTCAGGAATTATACACCACGAGGCGTTCAACGTCCGCGAAATGAACGTGAAATGCCGAACGCCACCTGGCAAGGAAAGAAACAGCTCGAAACAAGATTCCATTCCAGGTGAAATGAGAGTGGGTTGTTGCCCGACTGGCGTATTCTCAACTTGGAAAAGGCCAAATACTAAAACTGGAATACAATGGTCACAAAGAGAGAAACTCAAAGTCATCACTACAATAGTCGAGAATTTCAGATAACCAGAGAATAGTATATTATTCGACGAGCGTGTAATGATGGCCATTACTCATGAGAATGAAGTTTGCGACGTGAGCCGCAGGCGAACGTCGTGATCATTCGAATGAGTAATAGCCATTACACGCAAGTAGAATACTATACTTTTTCTATGACTGAGTGATGAACTGGTTGAGTTCATCAGCAGTGAATATCTTCGCTTTCTTTGACATATATCGATCAGATTTCCTTTTTAGAAATGCTCGTAATTTCAAATATTTGTCAATATTCACATAATTTTCCATTGAAATTGTGCTTCTTAGTATATGCATGGAATACTGTGACTACAAGGAGGATGCTTTGTGGTTAGCTGCTAATTCGCCAAAATAGGCTAGCAGTACATTATCCGAAAACGAATTTGCAAGTTTTGCTTTTCGCCAAACCACTTCATACCTTTTTTTAGATTCCTCGGGCAAAAGGCTGATTGTACTTGAATTGGCAGCTTTCGCAACTTCTGATGGTGGAGAGCAGTTGAATTCATTTTCGCTTTCTGAATCCATATTTGTACAAAAAGTCAGTTCTAAATCACGCCAGATAGCTATTGTCAAATTATGACATTTCATGACGAGTCTGATTCAAACGTTTCACTGCATGTCCCATATTATCATTACAACTGGTGTCAACTGTTTTGTAGGTAATGAATCTGCTTTGTTGCTGATTGGCCATAGCCTGTTGTGTAAAGGCTCTTACACACGGGGCGTGGCTTGTTTTGTGTAATGCATCCAGTTACCCAACAAAAATGTTACATTGAAAGGGTCTAGTTTTCAACAGTCATAGAAAAAAACAATTACTCACCTGGCTATATGCCAGGTAGAACATTGGATAACATCCACCCGAAATCTATGCGATAATTCGTATAGACGAAAAAAATCGCATGTGTTTCCTTCCTAAACGCTATCTGGTACGAACATGACCCAGAAATAGCATCTCAGCAGGCGGTCAAGAAGCTATCTGGAACAGCCCTACACTGATGAAAGCCGTCAGCTAGAAACCGTTCTGCAGGTAGTCACGCGTTCCTGAACCACTTAGGCGCAGCTTGGCGTTTCGGAAGGAATAATTTTTTTCGTATTTATAAGATTCATCGCAAAGATTTCGGAAGCATGTAATCCAATGTTCTGCGTGGCATTCAGTCAGGAAAGTAGCTGTTTTTCTCTCTTTATCTATCATTATCGTTCATATTATGAGATATTGTAGTAATGACTTTAAGCTTATCTCTCTTTGTGACCATTGTATTCCACTTTGGATATTTGGCTTTTCCTAGTTGGAAATATATCATTATGTTCTCTGATTCAACTCACGGATCTTTGATATTCAATTGACTGTGATACGTTTCTGGGTACTACATGCAGTTAGTTCTATAATTTTGTTCGTATCGGCATTATATATTTATCTGAATAGTTAATATTAGAGTATTTTCAAAGATATCTTATTCCAGGTTGAGCGACACTAACATCGAGAAGACTCTCTTCGACTCGACTCTCGTGTGCAAAGACTGTAGTAAAATAACTTATTTAGAATTTGTAAATTTACTTAACATCCCATCGACCGATCCATCTTCGCTTCAGCTGTTCAAGATCTATGATAAGGTGAGGGTATTTTCTTTCATTTTGGGCACTGAAGAACCTCTGAATTATTGTCATATTATATTATATCTCAGCTTATTACTTATTGATTTAGTGAATTACTTTTTTACCAATGCTACGAGACATGGCGAAATTGAAGCAGAAAGCACTAGTTTGTCAATACAGATATTTTGAGTCTGGAAATAAAAATTTTTTTCTCCGATTGGCAGCAAATATCAATTTTGCTGACACATATCAATCAGCTAAATATTACTTTTCCTGCCTAGGCAGCAAAGTGCTTACTTTGCTGATTGATATGTATCAGCAAAATTAATAATCCATAAGTCGTTTATAATTTCCTTCATATTTCATCCGAGACTCCTCCGGCAACAAATTCAACTCTATATTTTTACCACCTCCCTTATTTCTGGAGGTTTAAGAACTTCCAGGTCGCTATCACTGTCCATTATATGATAATTTGAATATACCGATATTTTTTCGTGCAATTGTCAGAAATTTCATGGATTGTCAAACTATAATTATTATGGACATTTCCATAGCAACCAACCATTCCAACAACTGGGATTTCTATCAAATTTTATTTTAATTGAACACTACAGGAAAAATAAAGAGATATATATCATTATGAACAATCGGAGAAAAAATTATATGTTCAACTCGGCAGCAAAGTAGATTGACTGCCTTAGCTGGATTCCTAGCCTCGCTACGCTCGGCTATGAATTCAGCCTCGGCAGTCAATCTACTACTTTGCTGCCTAGTTAAACAAATAACTATTCCGTGCGCGTGTGACAGATTCTCGTGTGAAGCGAAGCCGAACACGGGAAGTCATGCTAGCACGGAAAAATCATTTCTGGACGTGTAATGAACGATATTTTTTATTACACTTCGATAAAAATGGAAATATTATAATGACATATTACATAAAAAAGACAAAAAAGGAACTTGGAACATTTTTATTTCTACAGTAAAGTTGTAGGAATGAAAGAACTAGAAACTACTAGACCTAGAGTTTACTGGTAATGAATTCGCGGTTGCTTGTGCCGCTTGCTCTAGGATATTTTCGGGAATTTCTAGATCTTCTTCAGAGTTCATTTTGTCGGCATAAATTTGAATGACAGAGAATAAACAATGCTGCCAATACCGTGTTTGACATGAATGATTCGTTTCCATGGTTATTCTCAAAGTTTTTCCGTGTGCTGTTTCCATGCAATAGCTAATTACTAATATAGATGAAAATAAGGTTATTTCAAAGAAGTATAATCGAAATACGTTTTTCGGCAACCGTCCGGGAAGTGCTCACTTCCAGGACGCTTTTTCTTAGAGAATGTAGTATTTTTCCGGCTTAGTCCGGGAAGTACGTACTTCCCGGACTGTCACTGTAACTATGGAAATCTTGGTAGATATGGTTTTGATATATTATGCAGATGATGAAAACCATCATATAGCAGCAAAATATCGGCTGAGAGCTATCTGACATGAAATCAATTGACATTTTGATTTTTGAAAGTTTGGTTGTAATTATCGCAATAAACTATCAAGAGCAGGTGCGATAGTGAGTTTGAAAATGTCCACAAGAAATTTTCAATGTAACAGTCAGTAGGTATAGGTATTCTGTTCAAATTTCAATATTTGATACAAATGAGAATTGATGAATGATGAATTGCATTCTCGAAAGAAATATAATATGGGACCCTAATAGCACACAACGTCCTAGGGACGTCCCTATTTGGTACAATTCACGCCCGAATGTCCCGAATCAAAAATAAGTGTCCTTGGGACGTCCCATCCCGTACATCTCATGCAATGTCCGAGCAAGGACGTCCACGGAATGTCCCAGCTGATACATCATTTCAAATGTCCTAGAAATAGCATCCCTTAGACGTCTCACGTGGTACATATTGTAGAATGTCCATGCAAGGACGTCCTCGGCATGTGCCTGATGGGATATGATTTTAAACGTTCCTTTAGGGACATTTATCGGATGCCCCGAGTAGTACATATTCTGGCATGATTCCAGATCTTATATAATGTCCCTTCTAGACAACCATGAAATGTCCCTGATGGTACATTCCTTCAGATATCTCTGCACAGGAGCCCTTAATATTTCCGTATCGTATAACTATCGAAATGTCCCTTAGGGACATCCTTTGAATGTCACTTAGGGATATTCGTCAGATGTCCCAATTGGTACATGAACTGTACTATTCCGATGTCCTAGAAATAACGTCCTATGGACGTCCCAGTCGGTACTTTTAATATGTTGTCCCTGCGAGGACGTTGACTTAGGTACACCTCGCCGACGAATGATTGCTCGTAGGTAAGGTGGCTATAATTGACTGGTGTGTCAAGTCCCTATCCTCAAGCGTGCCCAAAACCTCTCGATCAAATAGGCAACCAGCCCACTTGATATTACAATATTCCAACCAGGTCTCCTACCAACAGGAGTAAGTTCGCCAAACTGTCACGGGGGGCGCCATCTCTGACTTCAGAATGGAGCGAATTGATGCGTTGCCAGTAGGCGAAAAAATTCCCTTCCTATAAGAAAATTCAAGTCCATCGAGGAATCAGTAATATGCAGAAATTTAACCCAAGTTGTGTCAGGAGAATGTATTAATAATGTTTTTTTCTTCATTCTATACTCATGTTCAGGAAATTCAATTCAAAATTCAAAAATTCAGTATCATGCTTTAACATCAGTGGTATTGTGGATCCCTCTTATTTTCATCATTTCTATTCATATATTCACTAAATTCACATTGGATTTCAGGCTGTAAGTTGGTCATTGTTATACCAACATATATCAAAAATAATCTAGTTCAATTGTGGTGCACATAATGAGGAATGATTGAAATACATGCAAAATAATATCTCTGATATGTATATATTGGAATTCATGATAAATTTTTTTATATACACAGTTCATGAGATTCGGACTGAATTCTGATACCTTCTCTATATTAAGTATGTTGAATATATATGATAGGTACTCTATATATCATCGATTATCTCTGACATCTGAGAGTTTCTGTTCGTTAAAAATAATTAGGTATTGTAGGCAATGAGTAGGATGGAGTAGGTAACCAAATTTTGACATCTCGAGATAGGTAAATGGAGTTTCATGTTTATTTATATATATCCCTGCCATTCTGTTCTTATTAGATCACTTCCTTCTCCTCGCAATAGAGCGACCTCGATTCCCAATTCTTCAATCACTATCGTATCTTTGATTCAATGGAAAATACACGTCGGCTCTCCTGGCGGCGATGACTAACCTAACCAAGGTCATAAAGCTAGAAAGTCGGTGCCAGGCAAACTTCTCGCGTAAAAAAGTTCGCTGTTTGACAGAACCACATCAATTTTCAGAAAATAAATGAAAAATTCTTGCTATATTATCATCATACCATACACTTTGGCAAACAGTAGTGGTAAAAACACTAGCATTAATGTAAAAAAATTGTTTCTAGAGGAGATATACCCGAAATTCAACTGAACTTGGCAGTCGTACTGCCATTATTACCAACTTTTCCATGTGAACAGTTAGCCCGTTTTATTCAAGCTCTCTGCTATATGCAACGCGCCATGAGCGCAACCAAAAACCGAATATAAAAAGAGTAAATAGACCGCTTTGATAGCTTTCAGAAACCCACATAGAAAATAATATGCAAATTCAAATGATAATGAAATCTTGGATGAATCAGCGTACATACATTGGATGAATACACTTTTTATTTCACACATAAAACATGAGAAAGAATATATATGTATAGATATACATATTCATAATTAATGAATGATGCATCAACTAATCTCACAAAATATCAGTCGATTCATGATTATTCGAAAATAGTTTAGTGGATGGAATTCGGACTAAACATTAATTTAAGATATGGCAACGCTGGTTGGCAAATTCTCTGATTCCAAATGTCATTGTCTCTTGTCAATAATTAAATTTATAAGAAAAATAAAGATGATGATTTTCAATTCGAATATTTTTAAATTATCAGTGATACAAACATGAAACAACGGTAAAAGTATTATTAATTGTTCTCGCTGTGTGATTAATGTGATTAGTGACTACACAAATAGTGCATAACTGTTCAAAAAGCCCAAATAATCAGCATGGCGGCAAGTAGAAGGTACTCATCATTATTTGGTAAGTATTAACATTTTCCTTTCAACTCCTTTTTATTATTATTACTACTATTTAATTGCTACGAACTGTGGAAGTGGTAGTTGACTTTTTTGTGCCTAATTCAAATTGTTGTGACGAAGAAGTGTACAGTCACATTAAGATATTCGAAATCTTCTGAAGTGTGGGTTGAAGTGATACAATCAAGAATTATCGGACTTTAGGTATTGAAGTAATGATACCAAGTACATAATACCACATATTATCAGGTACCTACAACTGGTACAACTGTTAGTTGAGTACCTACATAATTTATCGAAACTTGGGCTGAAATTATCTAAGACCTGAGCCAATTTTCAATGCAAATTTCATGTTGATCACTGTATATTAATAATTTATCAATTTATAAGTATATCAGGTGGTCCATCCAAAATGTACCACAAGTTATTACAGGCTGAGAAAGAACTTCTCACTCAAGGAAATCAAAAAACACCTCAAGTTTGTTTGTTAGGGGGACAACTTTTGATGCAAACAGCATAGCAAATCCTTCAATCCTCTGAGTGGAGGGGTTATATCCCTTTTTTTAATAGGAATAGGGGTAGAGTTGTGCCTCATTGAATAGGATTTTTTATCTCCTATACATTGTAGTTGTTTTTGAAGATTGATTTACTTGTTTATAAAATATGAAGCTTAGAAATACCAACATGTGATGAAAAATTCCGAGAAAAAATCTATAAACCCATTTCATTTTGCTTAAAAGTTTTAACACTTCATACACAAGTCAGAAGACAGCTTAACTAGCAAATACCTGGCCTATCTGAAGGTAAAGCCCAGGGTAAAGTACAAAAACGATTATTTTTCATTCACAGAAATG